ATTTTTTTATTCATATGGAAAATCCTACAACTAAGTTAAGTTTCGATTTGTGCTTTCGCCACGATTTAGGGCACTTTAAAGATATTTGAAGCGAAGTGGCTATTTCGCTTACCAGACAAGCTGCGAAGCAGAAACTTTGCTAGGATATTCCATATTAGCCTGCGGTCTTAATTCAACCTGGAGGTGAAATTCCATTCACGTAGACATGAAAAATACTCAATTTTATCGCATGCTCAAAAGCGAGTGCATTTTACAGATTTCATGACCGTCTTCCAACTTCCTTCAAATTTGCATCTTTTCAGCGAACAAGCATTCGCAGGTAAAACGACCGGGCTTCATGCAAAAAACTGATAATCATGCACGTTGGAAGTCCATGCGGCCACATAATGCAGCACCTTCATTCTAGCCGATGTCTTTTCGTCTTACATGCGGGAAAAGGCCAAAATATAGCCAATATCTGAGTCCATTTGTTAAATACAGCGAAGGAACCATTCTTGCTGTTAGTGAACTGCAAGTTTAGCTCAAAAATGCATGGTCGCACAGGCAGCCCTAGTGCACTACAGCCTGGATTTTTAAAAATGTGGGGCCAGAACAGGAAGAGACTGTAGAGAAGTAAGTCACTGGCGGCGCGCACCGGGTGGGCTCGTGCGATCATGCGTTTTTGCAATATTTCGTGCTGTAATGAGATCGCTTAGAAACCCAGTAGACAGAGATGTGCGATACACTGGTCCCCGAAGAAGCTAATAATCAACGCAGTATTTGGGCAGGGAACATTCCGCTCAAATTTCAGCCTTCCAAATTTTCTGGTTCTTGTGTTAGCAACTTTCCTGCCAAAAATTTTCACGGGAGAACCACACACGCTGAAGGGCTGAATTTGATAATTATAAGTTGTATTTGTACTGGGGACATTCCTAAAGATTTCAGCCTCCCAGCTTTCCTGGTTCCCGAACCACGCACACCTGGGGGCAGAATTTGAAATCTTTGAGTTCTATGCGGACAGGGGACACAACCTTAAAATTTCAGCTTTTCTGGTTCCTGAGTTAGCGATTTCCCCGCCGAAACTTTCATCGTACGCGGGGCC